GTTAAATTGTGAGCAAATAAGCTAAATAATATTTTTCCCAAATTAATGTTTTTCTTCAACTAACTTCTAAAATTGCTGGATTTTCTAAATGCGAAAAAATAATCCTACTGTAATGAGAAGTCAACCTCAACATTTTGGGATTTCTTTTAATAATGCTTCCAGTATTCAGTGGTCAAAGAAGAATTCAGATCCTTCACTTAAGTAAATTGTATTTATGCGTGTGTAGTAGTTCGTATGTATGTGTATATATATTTCTTGTTTTATATATGGAAATAAACTGTCAGGATTTGTTTTTTAAATGGTGTTTAGTTTGAACCTGGTGCAATTTAATTTAATTTAATTTCAAACCTTTATTTATCCAGGTGTATCCCATTGAGATCATTGATCTCTTTTAAAAGGGAGACCTGCTCAAGTAGGTTCCACATGAAACATAAAAACATAAACAGAACAACAAAAGGACATCATACAGCATCATTACAGGGATTACAATTTACATAACTATCCACATGAACAGGTACCAACAGCTTCCGATTGAGTAGCATCCAACTGAGCTTTAAAAACATTTAGTGGCACCAGATTGCTCAGTTTCCATTTCAATTGCAGACTATTCCAGGACAGTGGAGCTGCGCAATGCTATCTTCCCTAAGACAGTCCTAGCAGTTGGCACATTTAATAAAACCACAGCATGCGATCTCAGGCAGTAGCCACTTACAATTCGCCGTGAGATCAGGGAGCAGATGTAGGATGGAAGTTTCCCTAACATGGCTTTGTATATAAAAATGTACCAGTGACTGAGCCTCCGTACAGTTAGCGAAGGCAAACCTGCCCTTACATACAGGGTACAGTGATGGGTTAATGCTTTACAGTTTGTCACAAATCTCAGTGCACTGTGATACGCGGCAATGTCATTAAAGGATTTCTATTCTATTCGAAGTACTGACACATTTATGTAACATACTCCATTACGAGTAGAAATCCTACGAACCAAATCTCACATTGGTAAAAGTACAGAAGATTATCAGCAAAATGTGCTTAAAGTATCAAAAGGAAAAGCAGAATATATATGACAGAATCATGGCCTCCTCATGTGACATTTGGAGATTGTTAGTATTGTATCATGTCGTAATTTAATGTTTTATTTTTTGCACCTCAAGTAGTTAATTTAATCGTTTGTTTTAATACAAAATAAAAAAGTGAATAAAGCTGTAAAATAAAGAAGTGGAGTTAAAGCACATTATTCCCTCTATAAATTGAATAATGGTTACCGTTTCTTCCATTAGCATTCTGACCAGGATTGTGCACGTGTCCTAATATGTTGGCAAACAGGCACACACATAGATGTCACAGATAATAGCACCTACACACAGGGGCTGCTGTATGAAGACACAAGCAGGCTCTCACACCATCCACGCCATAACTACAAACAACCTGAAACAAAAGATACCCATCAGTATAATATGAGGAGCGCACGCTACACTGACAGCTCCTCTGACGTCTGGAATCACCATGCGGCAGATATGTGGTCCAGCAGGTCAGACAGTGATGTGTCACCTGAGAGCCTCCTGTGATACTGAACACAATATCTACTGATAAGGAGCTCGAGATGTGTTCCACCTCAGCAAGAGATATTTTCAATGAGACAATGTTGTATTTTCAGAACATAAAATCATTCACTGATTTCCAAATGTAAAAACTTCCTGGCTCATTTAAAATAAAAATATCAATAAATAAATAACAAATAGATCATTATCTTTTATATGCATCAATTATGTATTCATAAACAAGTTATTTATGTTAAATATATATCTATATATATTTGTTTTACATTATCGGTTTTTTCTTTCATAGAGATGCACCTCAGTCAAATGACCAAATAATGCAGTTAAGAGTAAGAATAACAAATATATTGTATATTAATGTATTGGTTATTAATTAATATTTTATTGATTATTTATATAAATCATTTATTTCTGAAAAGCTATATATATGTTTTTTTATTTTTTTTTACCAATGCCTCAGTGAAATGACTGATAATGCAGTAACATTAAGAACAACAAATATAATCTTTTATATACACATAAATAAATATAACTGAATATATATATATTAGATTTTTTTTCTTTTTGAGAAATGCAGAGCATCACTAAAATCACTTTTTCACTGGTGTGATTATAATAATATAAGTACTGACCAAAACATCTGAAACAGTCCCACAGCCAGGTATGGGAGAGAGACTTGACATTTCTCTCATTCCGTCTGCAGTCTTTTTTTAAACACAAAATCCATCATGCTGTCTCTCGAAACACAATAGGAATACAAGTTCAAATGCTTTAGTTTTCAAAAGCCCTTAATTACATGTCAAACAGGTGTTTAGTTCTAAGAAAGAAAATATCAGGACCCCAATGACCAAAATAGGCATGACTTTATTATTTTTCCAAAACTGCTGCATAACAAACTAAAATCAATATGAAAACACACAATAGAAAATAAAAAGAACACTTCAGCATTGCTCACAATGAGAACAAACATCAGTTTGGATTTTAATTGTGGATCTACAGAGAGTAAAAAAATGTCTAGACGGGGAATCGTCTCATTCACAAGGTGGCGTGTTGAGCTAGAAAAGCTCGGATTCTCTGCAGGAGCTCTTTCTTCACACTGTCTGGCACGAGTGCTGCATAGGAAGAAACATGGTGGATATATTAGTGTACACTACAGTAATGCATTAAGCATTCATATCATTCAAAACACTGTTTATTTTGTACTAGACTGCATTATGTTGAGAGGTGTTCAAACCAGACAGCACCTGTCAGTGTACAGCAGCACAAAAACAACTGCGCCACGCATGAAATGCTCTAAATGTAACATTGTCTCAACATAACCTCATTTATCATATCATAGTATCTGTTCAAACATGGCTCAACAATGTGTTCTTTACTGTGCAGCCTTTGTACTGTGAAGCTCTGATTGAAAGACATTGGCATGCAGGGTAAGAAAGACATATATATATATATATAATATATATATTTTAAAGCTCTTTTTGGACAATCTTACTGATAAAATCATATTTTATGAAATGGAATTTTTTTAACCGTGCAGTTAAAAAAAACAGTGGTTGATTGATGACTGTTAGTTATTTTAACCTCTTAAAGCCCTTTAGTTTCCCCGATATTGTTCTCTATTTAGGAGCTTTAAGTTTGGGATAGCCCACCTGTCTCACTTTATCACACATATTCTGCATCAAATCATTCTTCATGTCATTTTTGTTTTTTCCACAAGCCATAAGACGATTGAACGCATGAGTTCTGTGAAGTGCCTGTATATCCTTATAGCATTCATGTGTACAGCACACAGATGTATTGTGTGTGTCAGCCTAGCATTTTAGCTAATCTTATTCTACATGTATATAGTTGACCTCTTCTGCATTGACTCGTACATTGGTCACTTGCAACATCACCTTGTACTATTTTATTTCTATTCTGTTTCTTCCTGCACAATTTTTTATGTTATTTGTCTTGAATAATTGAATCTATACGCTGTTTGGAATGGGTGAAATGTTCGCTTCTCGTGGCTGCTCCATTCGGTTTTTAAATGGGGACACCTGGATTGAGTATTCTAGTTTGTTTCCAATTAATTATCACTTGAATTTCTCTGTGAGATCACTAAATATTAAACACACCTCATCTCATTCTATCTCGTGTTTTGAGCAATATTGCATACATTTTCCCCCCAAATATTGTATCTCTAGAAACCTTCAAAATTAAAATAAAGTTCTGATGTTTAAAATAAAATGTGACTGCTGTTTTTATTCACGATGCCAGAACGTGCCTCTTTGTTTTCTTGAGTAGATTATATTCCCATATTCTTTAATTTGGTTATTCTACTTGATATTCATATTCACTTCATATGCTTAAGGTAAAGTGTCTTTTTCTGTTCTGTTTTTTTTTAAAAATCAGTTTAGCTTGCGGTTTGTTTTGATATCTTATACGGTATGTTCTTTAATTGTTTCTCTGTAATGTATTCCTATGTCCAGGAGCATGGGAACACATTAGCAGCACAACTTGAGTATGGTTTGTATTTGTGTGCATCTTCCACCCCCTGCTGTTGTGTTTGCACATACCTCTGCCTTTTGGTGTGACTTCTGTAACCAGATCCTCCACTGTGACATGCTCCAGGCCCTTTTCTTTGATCACATCTGCACAAAATAATTCATCAGCAATGCAGCTTCATTAAAAGCACCGTTACACACAAAGACAAAGACAAATCCAATACCTTTGCAGTGTGCCTTCAGCTGATCCTTCCATCCACACTCCACCAGCTTTGCCCTGAGCAGTTCCTTCAACCTGCGGCCAACATTTACATTTAGTATACACTATTTACACATCTAAATGGTCTCTGAAAGCATTATTCCGACCTCAGTGAAGATAACAGCTGAACTCACCGCTCCCGTTCCCCCATTTCTATCAGCTTCTGGTTTATTGCAGCCCTCATCTGAGAGTCTTTGCTCATGGTCTGTCAAAGCCCAACACACACAGTTAGAATTTCCGTTTAAATGCAACTACTTCATGGGAATTTAGCTACGAAACCATTTGTATTTCACCAGCTATAAAGTAAACGTTACCTTATGTCGAGATGTATCAGCTGGGGAACACACAGTCCCTTCACAAAACCATACCGACTAAAACACCCTCAGTAGTGTAACGGTTCCGCTTTGGCCGTTAATGTTTTCTAGCAAACAACGTCACTGCTTAAAAAAAACACAGCATGTAGAAAATAGCTTACTTTAATAACAAATGAATACATTTTTTTAGGACAACCATAGTTATCAAATCACTTATTAAAACCCTTTTAGAGAAATACAAGAACTCAAACTCCCATGAGCACCAGGGCATTTTGTGTCCGCTGCGAAATGGCTCCGGGTCTGCCAAACAGGAAACGTGTTCTGCAACAGCATTTTCTTGCTTCATATCAACTTATGCACACACTAGTCATATAAAATAGATATGGCTGCGTCAAATTATTCCTTGAAGGTGAACAGGGAGCTGTTGGACCCCAACTTTGAGAGCTACAGGTTATCTCTGGACTCCATACCGACGTACAACGTTGAGCTGGATGCTGGTGAGAGACACTTAACAGACAGTTAGCAAGGGTGCCAGCTAGCCTAGCACTGAGGATGCCACACTGTGATAGCTAACCTTAGTAACAAGTTCAGTTATATGAATGAACAGGTTGTTCATCATTTTGAAAAGTACGTTTTTAATGCTTATTAATAATATTGAAAGCTAATTATAATATTAGTAGCTGTAGTCATTTTGCTCCAATTATACTTTATGCTATTGGGTTCAGTCTCCCTAAGAAGAAGTGTGACATCATTATTCAAATAAGTATAAATATTAACATTATTATTTTTATTTACTACAAATATTTTTTATGAGAACAATTTTTGACTCACAAACATAAGTTCATGTTTTATACTATCAAAAACATCCAGGACATACAACACAACTCACTCCACACATGCAGGTTAATCCAAGTTATACTCATCCAGTATGTTCACTACTTACAGAATACTGCACTTTCTGCATTTGTACTACAACTTTACTATTTAAAACACTAAAAGTGAAAAGCTATAGTGAAATAAGCAGATAATAAAGCAATGATAGAGAGTGTTATGCTGGTATGTTTACACATTAAATTCACACAAAACAAAGAAACATATTTATTTCACATACATGGACTTTGAACCTGGCTTTACAGCTTCAAATGGGACTAGGTAATTCAATTTAATTTGCTTTCCAAATCGCAATGTTTTTTTCTGCTTGATATACCCAGAATAACCTTGTAAACAAAATATACAGTAGAAGTTTACAAAGACTTAATAACAGCCAGTTAACCACAAAATAAAGCCTACAATGATTAGTATGGGAACCAGAGTTGTTGGTTATTAGTTGTAAAGCATATATTTAAAAGGATGGAGTATACTTATAGTAGTCTCACATGCACAACACTTTATTAATAACAAAAATATGATAGTGATGCCTTTTTCTAACCTTCTCTTTTTATCTGTTCTGCAGCCGTGGAGGAGGTGAAGTTGAAGGATACTCAGTACACCCTGGAACATATGCGTGCTTTTGGCATGTACAATTACCTCCACTTAGACCCTTGGTACGAAGACAGTGTTCTGTTTGTGGACTGCAAAGGAAGAGTTCTCAGTCTAACTGTCACTCTGGTAAGAATTAAATCCTTCTTATTTTTCTCTTTGAACTCCTTGTTCCTGGCTTGATCAATTGCCAATACGGTGTTGCCAACCAATTCCTTTGTATTTATTCTTGACGTCAATTCAAATGGATGTGATACTAATGTGATCTAATATGTGGAACTGCAAGTGGTCTTTAATGCATCTGACACACCAGCAGGTGGTGACCAAGTACTTGTGTAATAGCAGCATCAACCTACGATGCATTTCTGGCAGGTGATGTTAAGAAAAATCATATTTTGCAAAAATTCCAAACATTTTACAAGCTGCACTTTTAATGTGGCTCATTATTATTCCCCCTAACTTACTTCAGAGGCAACTAGAGAGGCAGTGAGTACGTTTTAAGAGGGTACAGTTTTTAGACAAGATCTGGTTAATGACAGGAGTGATTACATAATTGACCCAAGTCACTGATCCAGGTTGTTAAGGAAGATGACTCAGATGAGGAGCAAATGAACTTCTCCGCAGTCTTCTTTTATGTATAAGACATCATTGACCATGATTAGAGATAATTGGTGCTACATCAGTGTTTTTTAAAATCAGATCTGGCCTGAAAGATGATCATCCTGCAAGACTGTATTACTGGCTTTCAGTGGCAGCATTACGTGACTCTTTATGAAAATGTGTTGCTCAAACCCTAATTACAATCATCACATGATAATTATGGTCCCTGATGAGGCTTTGTTCGTACATGTGCACGGCATAGGCAGTTCACACAGGGCAGTAACGGATGCTGGATAAAAAGGTCTCAAAGGTGCCTCGTGCATTAGGTAGCGATATAATACGCAGTGTCACGCTCCATGGAAACAACAGGGCAGCTGCTGTGAGGTCCTTTTGAAAATCTGTCAGTTCACGGGATGAGTAATTGATGCTCATGTGGTGGCATTGCTGTGTATTAGTAATAAGGCTCTGAGACAATATGAAGCCGAGTCACATGGGCAGCAACATGACAGGTGGCATCTACGTCTCTCCTGGATGAGTTATTTTTCAGCCCTCATGTTGAAGGAATCTTCTTTTGGCCTTTTAATAAGAATAACTTTATGGTAATGATGTTTTGCTTTGTATTCATATCAGATGTTAAGAGGAGAGTTTTCCTGCGGGATCAGAGTGCCCTATTCAATACGAAAGAAGTGACCTTTCTGCTCCTCACGACTTCAAAGCCTTCTCTTATTAAGTGTTTGCGTCTTTGTGAGTCATGACCACACGGCAGTGCTTATGGATGGCAGTTTAAAAACGACAAATACATCAACCATTTTTACATGATTCAAAAATATATCCCACAGTTGTTTTACTTTCTACCATTCCCAGGCTTTTCTCCACAAATAATGCTTTACAAATTAGTTGATTAATGTATTTGTTGATGGACACAAACAGTTGAAATAACTAACTAACTAATCTTTCAAGCAAAACAGCCAAATCAAATCGTGATTCCAGCTTCATTTGCTATCCGTCCTTTATAATAATTACAATAATAACTTTTTGTATACAGCACCTTTAAAACAAATTCACCAAGTGCTTTACATGGATCAAAAACGGGTCTTTCAGCCAGCAACACACCCAATACAATATACAGCGTTTTCAACAATATAAAAGCTTAAAGTTAAAAGCTTTAATAAAAAGGTGAGTTTTTAATGACATTAACGCAACTTATTATTAATACCTTTGGGTTTTGTATTGTTGATCAGAAAAAAACAAGCAATTTAATGATGTTACCTTAGGCTCTGAACAATTGTTTAAAACACAAAATAAATAATTGTTAACTTATTCCAAACTGTTTGCTCCTTGCATTTGAAAGAATTGGGCATAGTTTATATTAAGGGTTTCGCAATATTTCAAGATAATAATGAATTGTCCTGGTGGAATCATATAGATTATAGAAGAATAGGAACAACCTTTATTTATGCCCAAGGGGAAATGTAATTGTTCACACAGTGCAATACACACACATTAGGTGAATAAATATATACACATACAAACAGATGCATTTATGGTGAAGTGTCAGAGCAAACAGGCTGCCAGGTTTTTCCGGAGGCAGGGAGCAGTTGGGGGTTCGCTGCCTGGATCAAGGACACTTCGGTAATGCCCAGGAGAAGAAATGCAAAGTCCATACAGACTGAGCTACTTGAGGCCTATTTCTTTTCAAAGATATCCCTATACACTTCTTCTAATATGATATAAACAAGCACATTCTAAATCAAATCTCTTCTGAAAATCTCATTAAATTAAATGACATTTAACTTTGTCTCAATCTGATAACTCTGTATTTGTGTGCAAACTACTTTTCATTTGCCAAGTAAATGACTCTCATAAGAGTACACTAAAACAGGCTTTAACATGTGGTTACTTTTATATGGGCTATTGATTTGTTGAATTAGCAGAAAACATGCTATATTGTGATTTATATCGTTATCAAGATATGAAACAACTCTTTATTGGGATTGAAGATCTCATAAAATATTGGCCAGCCCCTCTAAGACTGATGTAGAGACAGTTATATGTTTTCCTGGTTTTGTTGGTGCAGTATTGAATGTCTGTTGTGCTTTTCAGGACACCGCCCTGGGAAAACCGAGAGAGGTGTACAGTTTAACCTCTGACCCCAGCCAGTGTGAGGGTCGTGTGTGTGCGTCGCTCAGCCTCACCTCAGCCACCTGGGCGGCTCTCTCTGACGGAGCCGGCACGCTGACCCTCCTCCGCACCGGCAAGAGGGGAGACGGCACCTTTATGAAGTGGGAGGTAAGAATAAAATGTGTTTACTGTTGTTAGTTAAAACATTTACTATTTTACAATCATGAATACATCTCTGATAGGATATTAGGTGTTTCAGTTGCAATGTTTTCAGCAGTCGATGTGTAGTTGACAGAGCAGTAAGTAGTAGTAGCCGTTTCTCCACCTCTATTGGTGACTGAATGGTAGTGCAGCAACATTACATGAACATTCTATGATATAAAAAAAAGTCCACTATATCTCCAGCGAATAGGTGTAACCTCAAAAATAATTTCATATTTACACTGGCACTTTTACAAAAGACATCTTTGTTTATTTACATTTCTAATGGCACTAGATTGATATTTAGTTCACAGCTGAAAATAAGGCTAGTAGTGGGAGAGATGAGGGATGCTTTTAATGACTGGAGTCAAGCCAGACATCTCAGCAACAGGTGATATCATCTTTGTGGAGCAGCTCTCCTACTGTAGTTATTATAAAAGATCATTCATTTTGATTGTGACAAATATGTTTGTCCATGCCATTAGCTGGTGTCAACGTTTGATATTTTTATGATTTCTCATAATCTTGGATTGCTTGTAAAATAGTTCAAAGATATGGCTGGTGACATTTTTTTTCTTTTCTTTTTCTTAATGTCAATAAAGTCCTTGATTTAACAAGTCTGTGTAACCACAGCCTGATACACATATTCCTCTGTGCAATATCAAAAATTCACTATCATTATTAAAAACACATGAGTGAGTCACAGTGTTGCACTGGGTGACATGGTTATATATAATGATGAACACTAGAGGTGAAGGTGATTTATGTAAGAATGAAGACAAGATTCTGAATAGACAACTTAAAAGCTTTAAAAATGTAAAGAAAAGAGAAAAGAAACTAGATTCTGCTACTGACGCACAGTGATTCTACACACCAAGCTCGGGAAACAACTGGTGAAGCATTATTGTTTGATTTGTTAAAAAAATCCAACAAATACCAGTTCTACATGTTATTTTGTGTACTGTCAATATTCTGAAAAATAAAAAGGCTAGGCCTACACAATTTATCAGGCAGTTTGATTTCATTTTTGTAAAAATCTTGCAGTCACTGAGAGTACATTTATTAAAAAGTGTTTATTTGAGCAAGTTTAGCATGAATGAATGGGAGCTTTTGTGTTAGAATTGCCTGTGAGTTTTCAGTTAATCAGAAACAGTTGATTTAACAAATATTATAATAATATAATATTATACTTTACAAAGCACTAATGCCTTTATATGTACACAGCACAGTACAAATTAGCATCCCTATATACTGAATACCAAATCTAAAAATTCCCACCCTTCGTAAACACAGGCTCTATGATATGAATCCGTCCTACATACTGTATAAGCTGGCTCCTTTTGTAACAAAAGGAAAGAATATTTAAACAAAAGTTGCCCAAAACAATAATTTATTCCAAACTGGTCACAAATAACAAATAAGCAAATTGAGGAGTGCTGGCCTGGTGCACAGGGCATGGCAGCCGGGAGAGAGAGTGGAGCTGTTTCTCAAAGTCGAGGACGCTTACTTGGTAGGACATGTCCTTCCGAGTCAGGTCCTTCAGAGGCTAGGCAAGAATCCTTCCTAGCATTCGGAGAACGAAGAATGGAACAGGCTAGCAAGTGTGCAGGTTTGCGTCATATGCATCTATAATTAGCCAATACTTAGCCTACCTCACGATGTACCTAGCTAATTATGAACTTGCTTTACTTTCACGGAACACATCTATGGTGATAACAAATTTAACAAAGTAACATATTTACTAACACATTTACTACGCCACTGAACATACTTGCATTTAAATGTGTACTGCACGGATTCAGCCATTTTCCGCCTAAGATTTTGAAAATTGGTCCGTGCGCAAAGAATTGTGGGTAATTTAAGACCGCCGAGGATACACATAAGCAGCCTTGACATTTTCCGCAACGAAGGATTCAGTCCTCGGTAGAATTCCAAGGATCCTGTACATTGGAACAGTCCTTCGGCGGGATTCGATGACGTAGCATCCTTGAAATAGAGGCTCTGAAGGATCCTTCCTTGACATTGAGAAGCAGCTTGGGACTGTTCTGCAGCCCTCTTAAATAGTCTGGAACCAGGGGCCACAGGTGGGTCTCATCTCTCCTGATTACAGGACCTGACCCCACCTCCAGACTCTCTGCAAGAAAAAAACTCAGGTTTCAACAGCACCATACAATGGACAACCACAGGGTTGTCACAATACTGACATGTTTACTTATCCGTGGCTTCAAATATTGAGTAGCATTTGGTGAAAGGGTGAGGAAGTCAGAAAGAGAGACAAACTAACGTAGTGTTGACTCTCATAAGAAGAATATACAACATTGTGAGCCCAGCTTCATTCTTTAATCTTGCGTGTGCTATATATTCCTATTCCAAGAGGATAACAAATTCATATTTCAATTACTGTATGAAATACAATAACAAAATATCAATTTTATGATTAATTAAATCTAGCAGCCAGGAGTCTGGAGTCTGGAACTCAGTGGGATTATAGCCTTTAAATTGGCTGTGGTATAATAAAACGTATTTTTATTCAACATAAAAACTTGTCAAAAGAAGCATTTTTTTATTTTGAACTGTTATGCAAATTCAAGCTTTAAAACCAGCTCCTTTGTTTATAAAGCTAAGCCAGTCTTTGGGAAATTGGCTTGTAGATGTGAGGGATCAAGTCTTTCATCAGATGAGTCTTTGTGCACTTTATCCTGTTAATAGCGGAGATTTGGATTGGCTACAAATGAGAGTTGAGTCAAGAAGTTTCATATATCTTCAAAAAGGCAAATATAAACACTGGTGTAGAAATACTACATTCAATTAGCGTTTTATTGATGAAATACATCCAAATATCCTATGAAGTGCAATGAAGACCATAACACTTGACTTTTTGGTCAGGGTCATAATAAGGAGTGCTCTTTATTCATTAAATACTTTAATAGGAAATGTATGTTTTTAAGGGAGAGTGGAATTAAACTGTTAAAATGGTGTAAGCTGTAAGGCAAGGAAAGATTTCTTTTTATTTATATATCAGATTTCAAAATGAGACAAACATTTGATTTATAGCATTAAGATATAGCGCGACAGAAACTCATTTTAAAATGATATTTAAATAGATTTAAAAGGTAATTAGGAAACCAAGAAAATACAAAAAAAACAAGCTCAAATGGAATAAAACAGGCAACAAATACAAGAATAAATGTTACAATGCATTGTCAAATATGAATAGTTATTTGATTTAACAAAAGCAGATAAAAAAAAAAAGACTTCAGCCTTGGAGTTTGTTCCAGATATATAAAGCATAATAAATGACATTCTCCATGTTTACTTCTGAATCTGGGGACAGAAATGAAACCTGATGGTCATATCAAATAATCCTTAATAACACATTTTCTTTGCTCATGATAACGCTGAAGAACAGCTTCCCAGCTTGGGAAATGAGACCCTGATTTGTTGTGTGTTGGTTCTCTCCTGGCAGCCGCTGTTCAGTGAGGACACGGGGGAGCCTTTCAGCCTCCTCCACAGCATCTCTCATGTCCAGGAGGGAGTCCACTCCATGGAGGTGCTGCTGCTCCGCATCCAGAAGGAGCCGCAGGAAACCAAAGGGAGCGGGTTCTGCGTGTCTCTGGAGTGGATCACAGTCGCCAACAGTGCAGGACAAGGTGGGTGGTGCACAGGCCAGCATCATCTCAGTAATGTAGCATGGAGTGAAATAAGAGAAGACAAGTGTGTCATACATAATAAGGGTCTCAAATTCAAGCCTATTATTTCATTGTCATGTTCTTTTTTTACAGTACATACCCAGTAGGCGACAGAAAGCCTTTTAATTCAACTCTACAAGGAAGTTAGTCATACTCTGCCTTTAATGCGGTTTAATTATGAGATCTCAGAGGACATTCGTAATCTCTAAAGCAAACATTGCCAAGAAGACATTTCATTAAAGTTCTCGGCACTTTCTGAGTATGAGAGACACCCTGACTAATGATTCAAAGATTGGGAAGAAAAAAAACACAGGAGCAGCCTTTAGCAGAGGTGGGAGTAAGTCATACATGAGCAAGTCTCAAGTCTTAACCTACAAGTCTCAAGCAAGTCCCAAGTCACTGTGGTGAGAGTACAACACAAATATTTTACATCAACATGTTAAGCCTCCTGCCCCCCCTTCAGCAGGGTCACAGCATTTCTCCATGGTCTGTCTAAGGTGCTCCCATATGACACTGTCTCATTATTTTCCTAACTGTGTCTGTGCACAAAGAAATATTGCATCAAAGCCAATACAACGGAATAGTGTATGTACCAGGGCGCATGATATGTGTGTGTGTTTGTGTGCAGACAATGCGACATTAAGATTAAACACAGTTCTTTCATTTGGGAACACCCACATATACATATGGAGTTGGCCAGATGTGTGTAAATGACTGTTCATGGTCATTTGAAAACAAATGCCGTTGTCGGACACACAAACACACCGAACACACACACACACACACACACACACACACACACACACACACACACACACACACACACACACACACACACACACCACACACACACACCACACACACACACACACACACACACACACACACACACACACACACACACACACACACGCAGAGCACAAACACACACACATCAAGTCTCAAGTCATGAATACCAAGTCAAGTCATGTGACTCGAGTCCCCCACCTCTGGCCTTTAGAGAGTGCTTTCTTCATTAAGTTGGATTTATAGATGGAACCCTTTGATACCTGCGCGATGTAGAATAATTGTTTGTTATTTGTTTTAGGTCTCAATGGCTTTATATTTGATCTGAATATGATTGTAAAGGGGATTGTAAGTCTCCATAGTCAAGCATGTCATTAATATGTTGTACCTCTTCCACTAGACAACTCCCTACTGTAGACACAGTTTGTGGGGCCCTATCATGTTAAGGGGTGCGACACCTCAGTCGACCAGCTAACCAATCAGAGCAGACTGGACAGAGTGTGAAAAGCGGTGCTGCAGTAAGAGAAAAGAGCTTTTTGAACATTAAAGCATGGAAACATGTCCCAGTAGAGGCAAATGTGAACCTAAAAATGTGCATAATATGTCCTCTACAAAAGAAGGTGTGAGTGTTTGTTTTGCTGCTCATGTCCTACATTTCCGAAACAGATATAGAAAACCACAGAATCATGTCTCTTGATTCAATATTTTGCCGACATGGGTGGAAAATGATAGAACTCTTATTTCACAGATTCCCACAGAGAGCCACATGTGCTTTAGCATGGAAAGCACACATTCACGTACACCTTGCACAATTTCATATTACCAAAAGTTACCAACATTTTGGACTGTAAATGCAGGCCTGACAACATGTTATTACTTTCTCATAACAAACTGAGGATATGAAATGAAAAAGTAATTTTCCGCTTCATTCGGGCAAATAGTCTGGTTTGCGCCACTAAGGAAATCCATCACACTTTGTAATACATCTAGGCAAAACCTTTCAATAACTGAAATGCATTCATTTATATTCCTGTGATCTTTTATTTTCAAAAAAACTCAAACTGTGTTAGAGGGTATAAGATACTTCTGGTCATTACAATAGATACATGATTGCCATTATCATGCTAAATGATGTCTTATAAGCCACTTTAATACACCAAGACCTTGGGGAACATTATAGAAAAATCCATGCACTGATTTAATCTCCAAATATATAGACATTTGGAGATTAATGTAAGATTTGATTTTTCTGCATTCTTTTTTTGGGCACATTTCATATTCAGTCAATTAAATAAAAACAATAGATATATTAAACTGAAGTTCAATTTGTTCAATCTTCATATTATATTCCCCTGCAAATGTGGGGTTTCTGTGCTTTTGATTATCAATTTAGATTTCCTAATTGATATCACGAGTCAGTTGTGAAATGAACAATAGATATCAAAGGCACAGCAATAACTAAAACAATAGCAATACAAACCAAAAGTACCCTTTATACACAAGTTGATGTAATCACTGATAACATAAAAAAAAAAAAATGTAATAACATAAAACAGAAATCAGCAGACATTTTGTTCAAAGATCCATTAACTGCTGGAATAACAAGTTTACATTACTCTTTCCTCTGCTCTAATAGAATGGACTTTATCACTGTTGTCTCTCCACATGCAGGTCAGGAGAAGAAGTACGAGGTGAAGAAGAGGAGGGTCCTCAATGGGAAGACGGTGCCTCACTATGCAGCGGTGGAGCCGAAGGGGAAGGGGCTCATGGTGGCCTCGGAGAAACCGTTCGCCTTCACTCATGTGGACGGGCTCCCAGTGCAGCTGCCAGACCCCGAGCCCATGGAGGTGGAGAAGACAGGTGGGTCACCGGGGCTGCCGGGTTAGGGACTTAATACTACCTTTTATTTTATACGTTAACCAAAGTCATCCAAAAATACCTCCATCTCAGTCATTGAAAGCTTCAGTAATTGCTTGCGCTGAAAGACAATTGCTTACTTTATATAGTTCTTATGGGTTCTGTTAACAACCAGTAGATATTGATTAACATTTCATTTAATGTCACATTTCCTGCCTTCTGACATATTTAAGTCCATCATTCACCCTCCTTTTAGCGCTATTTTGGTCTCTACAGTACCTACCTTAGTTTGGAAACGTATCTGAATATTTAGCTGCTTAACGGTCCTTTACCAGCTAGTTGCTAACTTAACTCTTTAGCGTTCAGTGCTGTTTAGGGAGTTTACATTAGGTTAAAACGGTTGCCTGCAGTTTCTGTAAACAGGGCTAATGATTGCATAATTTGGCAAAAAACCCCACTAACTATCAGCTAAGAGGGGTCAAAGGTTTCGTACAGCTGCAGGGGATACATCTCTTTTCATTATGAACCTCCTATTTCATATCACGTTTTCATTTGAGACATTGTTATTATAATGATTAGATGGTTGTTAGTACAGCATATCATTAAAAATACAATTGAATTAAAATATAACAAAATATGCCATTGTCATTGGGTAGAAGTTGCAAATAAATGAATATAATACAATAAAATGTGTGATTAGTTGGTGTAGTAAAAATACACCAACTGGGCTAGATTGATACATAATGAACCCAATGGAATAAGTAGTCATATTTCCCACACCAGTGTCAAAGTGAACGGTTGTACTCGCAAGTGCATCATGAACATGACCATATCTCTGTCAAAAGTTTTAGTTCTGGTTGCAAAACTAATTTAGAAAAAGTTTTGTTAATTCAGAAGACTCAGTTTGACTCATGATGTAGAAACGAGAGAAAGAGGTTATGTCACGCTTTGGCATCAATCATATTTATAATGAGAAAGTGCCATCTCTCGCCAGAGAGTGTACCAGCCTGTGTACAAGTGTTGAAACACAATCATCATCTGGACTCTGACTACATCAAAGATATGATCATGATCATCACCACACTCATTTCTTGACATTTCTATGTTGAGAGTATTTCCTGTTAAGATTCATCATGCAGTTGCATCTGGTTATTTCCAGTAAAAAACCAACATGTAAGCTTCTTCTGCTCATTACCTTTCATAGGCTCAAAGTGACTCTCTGGGTTGTAGCCATAGAAACGCTGGAGCAGGCAGCACAATATTCCCAATCAGACGGGGGTCTCTGTCGGATCTGATAATCTGTCTCAGTCCATGGATACTATCCAGAACATTTATTAATGCTTGTCATAAAACCAGAGCATAATCTGTATTCCAGTCGTGTGTTAAAGTGCTAAGTAAAAGAGTTATCATTTATGATTTATGTTGAGGTTTTAATTTGCTAATGAATATATTATTTTTCCTAATTTGTTGAAACTGTTGAACTGATTTGTCTAAAAATGGCCAAAATAATGATGAATGCCAGTTATTTGGGTCCAAAGGGATGTTTTCAAGTGTTTGATGACCAATAGTCAAAAACCCAAAGGTGTGAAAAGTTGCAAATTCTCACATTTTAGGGACTGGAACAAAACAATAATTGTTTTGTGTAACTGTTAACAAATAATGATATTATTTAGAATTTATTTTTAACCGGCTAAAGGAAAAATTTGATTGTTTTTTTTTTGTTGTAAAATGTCCTTTTTACTTTATTGCTGAGACCTAGATGAGTAGATTGCTACCACACATACCTGTACAATAAATAGTAAAATAAAGTCAGGAATTAGCAAGCTTAGCTTAGCATAAAGCTAACTTACTATCACATTGTATATGTATGTACAATGCATTGATACATTTTGACAGGGCTAAGCTAAGCTAACTGGCTACTGGCTGTAGTTTCAAATGAACCTACAAACTTGAAATTGGTATCAATCTTCTGATCTAACTCCACAAAAAACAAAATAGGCGAGTTTGCCAAAATGTTTCTAAATTGACTAAATGTTTCACTATTATACACGTTGCTTTACTTTTATATACATCACCCTTATAACCATGTCAGTACATTTACAATACATCCTGTTTCTGTACTGACTCAGATGTTCTAATCCAAATCTTTTTTATTTATTTTTCCGGTCTCCATCTTATTCTCACAACCTCTAAAAAGGCATACATTCCCCTCTTTTTCAAAATATATAAAAACCTTGGGCGAGCGAGACAGCGCATCGTATATGTCTGTGTATTTGTGTGTTAATGGCACAGAAGCATTATAAAAGCAGCTTTTAGCCGATCCTTTTATCAGCACTCTGCTTTTCTCGTTTCGGAGTAGTAGAAGTGGATTAGATGTCAGGAGAGGAGGCATCTTCAAAGCGCTTGTAAGTGATGAGAGAGGAGATGCAAAAGGGGGGAGGAGAGATGGAGTTGAATTTGTGGTGCGCAGATGGAGAACAGGTGCAGATATGCTATCAAGAGTGTACATAGAGAAAGTGTCCAAGCATGTGGTTGGATAAGTATATTACGTAAGTGGAGAGTGGCTGTGTTAGGTTGGCATTTTATGTGTCTGAACAGGAGTTAGGCCGACAGAGAAGTTCAAACGATGAACAGTGGAGGGGTAAAGAGGAGATTGAGAAATGAAAGAGAAGATTTGGCAGCCCCCCTCTCCCCTTCTCATTAGTTCTTTTGTTGATTCAGTCGACAACAAAAGGTGATAATGAACCTGTTCCCCACATCCCTGCCAGATATGGAGCAGGTTTGTTGCTTTGGAAAATCGAAATTGGACCAATTTCAGTGTTCAGGCTCTGGCAGTAATCACAGAGTGAGAGGTATCACAGTTCTGGCACTAAGTTTTCTCTATAGGAGTGTTGCATATGAGAACATTCGCACTGGCTGCCTATGAATCAGATGATTCAGCTTGGAGTGATCTGTTCCCTCTGTCGTTTCAAATCTTTCTCCACAGTTGTTTCATGGCTTATTTTTTTAATCGTATAACTCTAGCCAGGATTGAAGCATCTCTACATTTCTTTAATTGGCAGCTGACTAATACTTTTTTAGATACAGTAGTAGTAGTTTATTCCATTACAGGTTGTTGGACGATGAATACATCTGAGGGGGTGACTGATTGGAGAGGAAAAAGGATACAACAATCTGTCTAACTGCTAACCATTTATTGAAAACATGTGACAAGAGAAGGTTTTTTGTTACAAGTTATTACAAACAAAAAGCTGGAAACCTCTGATTTCATATTCAGGACAATGTATTGTTTTGTATAAGCAGAAAGAAAATCTTTGAATATATGCTTTTGTATGCAAATACGAGTTTGTATTTTGTGGATCTCAATTCCCTGTTTGATTTCTGTCGCCGTGTAACCCGACTGCATGCTCTTACTATTAAATGCGGAAACTACGTTATCAGCAGGGTATCTGAAGAAGGCCGAGTGACACACATAGCTTTTTGAATTTGTTTGCGTACTTTGCACATCCCTGTTATATTTTCAAAATATTTTTGTGAGTTTAAAAATCTACTTTCGATCAGGCATTTGTGAATCCAGTTTGTGTTGAGTTGTTCTCGAATGTGTGTTTGTGCATCGGCCTTTGCTCACAGAGATTTTTTAGAAAAACGTTCCGCCCGTCCGAATGAAAAACCTGCGTGCATCACTCTGCCATTTTCAGATAGGCTGCTGATGAGGTGGTGGAGTTAGAGCATGTACTGTAGATAATTGCATTCAAATTAACAATATTTCAATTTAAAAGGTAGATGAGTTACCTCAAAGAAGCTTTACATGGAAAGACTCAAGTAAAATGTACCTCAAATACTTAGTTAAAGGTGGGGTAGGTAAGTTTGAGAAACCGGCTCGAGATACACTTTTTGTTATATTCCATGGAATGCTCTTAACATCCCGATAGCAATGAATATCTGAAGTGCTTTGACAAAAAATCCATAAAAAAAACGTCATCTGTGGAAGCCGTGGTACTGTAAAAAGCACGACCAATCATTTTAGCCGGCCCGGCTAAAATAACTGGATGGCCTACCTGCCTGTCAGCCTTCCATCTGTGCACACACTTATCTCGTGCCCTTATTGGTCATGTGCGCGTTCGTGTGTGTTGGAGGAGGGGCTCTGTAAGGAAGTGGCAGATTTTTTCCGGCTGTGTATTTTCAAATCCTAGCGCACTCGAGCTGGTTTCTCCAAAATTACCTACCCCACCTTTAAATGTTCTAATAATATTCAACTATTTGATATGACCGCTCACAGTTATGCCTGTGCAGAGGAGTGTGAGGGAGATTATTATTATCTGCCTCTCTGGTATGTTCTGTCTGGTAAATCCTGTAATTAACCCCTCCTCACCCAGGTTCTCCTATCAATGGGGTCTAACCATATGTTGCTAAGAGGTTACTAAGCAGCATTTCTGAATTTAGTTTGTTTCTTATTCGGTTTCCCAGTTGGTGGAATGAGGCGGACTGTTCAGTGATGGGGTCACTGTATTATCCTCCTCTTATAAATGCCTGGCAACTGCTTTTCATGAGGTAGGTAGGTATTTTCACCTGAGCCAAGATCTCTGAAAAACTGTAGTCTGAAAGAAAATAATGTCTGAATCTCTATTATGAACAGCAAGTGATGAAAGGGACTCTGCAGATGAAAGGGACTCAAATAGATTGTAATATAGAAATGTATCCGTGAACAACCTGTAACTCTTCCTTCAAATTGAGAGTTGAACACAACGCTGCCAAATTGTTTCTGATCAGATTTACGATTGGATTTCTTCATTTCTGATTCTTTACTTGCCTGTTATTTTATCGAGCTTCTGTAGACTGTTGGTCTAAGAAGGACACAAGGCCAGATGTTTGTACATTTTCCAACAAGGCTATTTTCAAAAATGTCCTTGGTGACTTCCGTTTCAGGGTGACTTTTGTGTTTCATTGAAGCGCACCAGGTGTTTTCACTGTCTGCTAAAAAGAAAAATGATTTGCTTGTGAATAACAGAATGCCAGGGAGGCGCTGAGTCAGAAACAACAGAAAATGGGCGTCTTAACATAGTGGGCAATGGTGAGAACAGATTTGTTCCTTGTCAAAGAAAGCGGAAAGCACGTGTCATGTTTGTTAAAAGGGTCTATCAAGGACAGGTTTATTCGTCAACTGTGTGTTTTAAAACATTACAACTTTTTAAACTGACAGTATTGCAATAGTTTCACATCTAAAAAGCACACAGAGAGAGTATGCATTCTCCAGTGCTCAACAACACTCTAAAGCAGGGGTGTCCAAACTACGGCCCGGGGGCCAACTGTGGCCGGTGGTCCTTTTTTTTTATTGGCCTGCAGCAAATTCTAAAAGTATAATGGAATATGGCCCACACGGGAAACTTGTGCTTGTCTTATATCTTACTTCTTAATTATGTAAAAAATATATTACACAATATTAATGTGTTTGCCTAAATTTCATAAAAATTCAGGCGAAAATTTGAAAACATATTAAAACAAATCTAAATTGATAAAAAAAAGCCCAATAATGAATGAGACTTCTAACTTCTGAGGCAATACACCTAGCCCAGTCCTCCGTATCTTTTCCTGTATGTGGCCCTCTGCTCTAAAGGTACAATATGTAGCATTTCCCCATTAAAACGGCAGAAAACACTAGCCACAAGTCATGTTGAATTGTGTACTTGTACGTTCCCAAATTATTCAAACTATTTCCAAACCTCGAGGAATCCATAATTTAAATCAAGATAACAGTCCATTTTGACATATCCCTTTGCACATGCGTAAGCGTTGTTTCTACCGGAAGCTTTAAAAATGTACTTTTTTAAAATTCTACTACATTGGTAATATTTAAGTCATCAGACGTCTTGATCTTGAGTCTTCAGAGAAACAAGCTAAGCAAACATTAGTCTTTAGCTCGAAGCCACGTTGTCCTGTTTCCACCAAGAAAACACTTCTTTTACCAGCTTTATTTTGAGTTTTCACTGGTTTCAAACACCTGGCTTCTTTGTTGTGGAGAGTAAAGGACCTTTGCCGATAATTCCGCTGCCAGTAAAAACCTCTGAAGGAATCTGAGAAAAACTAAAAACCTCTATGCGCCAGATTTCGATTCAAGTAAGAGCAACAGCTTATGAGATAAAACGCTTTATTTGCCACTGCAATATGTAGAAATCCTTTTAAAGAGAAAACCTTGATCTAGCACTTGGCTTGGATCCACTCTGAAAACAGCTTCCTTGACCCATGGTCTAACACGGACTATATTTATTCAAGATCTATTAACAGACTTTAAGGTGTCATTTTCACCAACAGATGAACAGAACTACATCCTCTCAGATCTATCGCAGGCTGAGGTAACAGCAATCTGTTTCTGCCGAGTTGTACACACTGTTTATATTAAGATTTTGAAGGCCCTGAAAACCTTTTTTTCGTGATGCATGAACACAATTATTAAGACCAAACCGTTTTAGTTATTTCACAGAGGGAGAGACTTTCTTTAATGATCTTTTGTCTGGGCTTTTCTTAATGGCACTATTTGCTCGATGTGCAGAAATGTTTTAATCAAAATCTGCCAACAGTTACTTTCAGACAGACGGAATGCAAAGCAATTCTTTTTCATAAATGTAGTAAAAGATAGCCAAAGTGAAAACCAGAGTCTATGGGGAGTCCTTTGTTCAGTTCAGAGGTTGAGCTGAACATAAACACACACGGACATCCTGTCTTTTGCTAGTAGGCTTAAAGGTGGGGTAGGTAATTCACTTCAGAAACACTTTTTGTTATATTCCATGGAATGCTCTTAACATCCCGATAGCAATGAATATATGAAATGCTTTGACAATAAATACAGTAAAAAGCACGACCAATCATTTTAGCCGGCCCGGCTAAAATAACTGGATGACCTACCTGCCTGTCAGCCTTCCATCTCGTGCACAAACTTATCTCGTGCCCTCATTGGTCATGTGCGCGTTCGTGTGTGTTGGAGGAGGGGCTCTGTAAGGAAGGGGCAGATTTTTTTCGGCTGCGTATTTTCAAATTCTAGCGCACTCGAGCTGGTTTCTCCAAAATTACCTACTCTACCTTTTAATGTCAGAAAATTACCCATTTGCTCATAAAAGGGGAAATAAAAATGCTGTTACTTAATGTAACATAATAATACTAATACATGTTATTTATATAGCAATTTCCCTGGTGCTCAAAGCACCTAACATCTATTATATAATTGAAACAAAATTGTATAGTTTGTTAATTATACGTTTTCTAAAAACCTTTTGAGCATTGTCTTTTTTATTGACAAAAATATTAAACATTCAGTAAGCACGATTTACACCTAATACTGTCACTTATACCTATAATTATTTCATATTATGTATTTTCTCAATCCAAAACTAAAAGTTAATTTTAACTAGGGCTGCACGATATTGGAAAAAACTGACATTGCGATTTTTTCCCCCTGCGATATATATTGCGATATGAAAACATACAGGAATGGTTTTTTTTCCGCAAACCATCCTTTCTTGATTTTTAATGCTATACAATTGGTATTTTTTTAACTATATTTAACCGGATGAAGGATTTTAGTCACGGACGTCTGGATCTTAAGTTATCAGAGCAACAAGCTGAGCTAGCTCGGTTAGCAGCGCCGAACTGCCCTGGAGAAACACATGAAACTACTTTATTCAGTGTTTTTACCTTTAATCACCGGGTCCGTTTGCTTTGGAGATTTGATTGTGATTGGTGGGTTGCTGTGCATGCAGAGCCTGCATGTCACTCACTCAAGTAACCCTGACATGAGAGTTTTCCTTTTGTAGCAAGCAGCAAAATAAATGTTCTTTTAAAAAAAATCGCACGTCCTGCGATGTGAATATCACGCATGCGCATATCGCGATTATCGTCACGACACGATATATCGTGCAGCCCTAATTTTAACCATGTTATACAACTTGTGCTACTTTGATTATTGGTTATATAGATTTATTTAGCATTTTAACATCTAACGCTTTTACTTTAATCAAACTGAGCTTTTGTCTACAGTAAACTATGTAAATGACTACAAATACTGTAGCACAATAAAATGTGCAATAAAAAGTTTTGACAGGATATTTCTGCACAAACTGAAATGTGAACTGGTGCAGGAGATATGGCTTGATGGCTTCACTGTGAGAAAAAGTCCTCGTAGTCTCCCTCGCATATTGATTATTCATTTATTTTAATAGTCCCCCGTCTGCAGTATCACTGAATATTCAGCAGTCATTTCCTTTAAATCCGGCTCTGTATCAGATGTTTTATGTATGACTCTGTAAATACTGTCTAACTTTAGCACCATTCATTTCTCTCCTGTTTCAGACCCCATCTACTTCTGGCAGCAGACCGCGGAGGATGTCACGGTGTTTGTGCGCATGCCAGAGGGTGTCACCAAAGAGGAGGTGCAGTTCAGGCTGACCGCAGACCAAATCATGCTGGGAGTTCAGGGTTTCCCTCCTCTGCTGGAGGGCCAGCTGTTTGCACCTGCAGACCCCGAGGCCAGCGCCTGGATCATCAAAGAGGACAAAAGGTGTGCAAAGTTTCTGAGTTTGGTTTTCATTATTTGTGTTATACAAACAACAGTGACACCGGATTCCTCATGGTACCTTCCAGCTGTATTTCTGTTTTCAAAAGTGGCAATTGACGTGTTTTTTTACTTTAACATATAATCTTGCCCAAGGTCACCTCCACATGTTGACCGTAGGGTCCGGGATCAAACCACTGACCCTCTGATCGGTAGATCAGAGGGTCAGCACCTTGAGCCACAGCCGTATTGATTGAATACTGCATGTGCAGTATTCATGCATTGTTTCAACGATTTAAGAGAACTGACATAAGAAATGTTTGTATTGTATTTCATTTTTTGCAGTTTTTAATCCTTATTGAGGGCTTCAGAAAAGTATAAAGAAAAGGTTTACTTCAGTCCCACTTGGCAGGACAGCGCGTTTTCTCTAGATGTACTGTATATCCATTTATTTTACTTATATGACATTAGCTTTATTGCAGAATATTACTTACAATCATCAAGAAAGTCATATATTTTAAGGGTGTCAAGTATGCAAGGCATGGAGCACTAGAGTTTTTTTTCTTTATTATTAATAATAATATAATTGTGAAAAGTATTCAGCTGCCTTTTTTTAAAGGGATTTAGATGACACCGAGATGACCCATCTGTGAATTGCCTCCTTGTCGAGTGTCCCTGTGACTCCGGTCACTGTGTCCTTGTTGAGTGCACAGTATGCAGCACAAAGTGTCTTACAATTCAGCGGCAAAAACAAAAACACCTTTTGAAAAGATGTGTACAAATGTGACCATCGGAGGAGCATGTGAGTTGATCTGCGCATTCTCTGCTCCCCTCCACCTCTGCTGCAATATTATTTCTCCATGCAGTTATAAAACAAAACGCAACCAATAGGTTTTACTTTATTAATCTATCAAACTTTATGTATAGCACATTTCAAGTTTATTAAATGCACTTTTAAGGGCTTAACAAGGGAAACATGAACATTGTTTCTGCCAGAATTAAGATAAAATTAGAATAGAAATAAAACAAGTCGTGAGGATCAACAGTAGGATCAAAGTGTTAACAAAATGCAGGAATATAGGAATGATATAAAAAAAAAAGTAAGAATAATACAACTATAGAATTGTAACACAAAAGAATATATCAATATTCTCAGCTTCTCTTAGATCCTTTGAAATGACTGAAAGCAGCATCGGCAAATGTTTTTGAGAGGTCTAAGCAAAAATAGATTGGGTCAGTTTGTGAGTTTAAGCTAATATTTCCCACCCATTTCCTCACAGAATGGACCGGTCTGGCCAAGACGTTTTCTCCCGGGCAGTGGGCATTGGGGTATTTTAATTAAAGAAAAACTGTGGCAAGGCAGCAGGAGTGGATACAATTTACTCTTAGATTGCTGGGAGTGTCTTACGTTTCCCCAATGTCTCATGGAGGTCATTTGTCTACACTATAGGCGCGTTCACACCGCAGTACTTTTCCCACTTTAGTTCCGAAATGTTGCGTTCACACCAAAAAAATCCGGAACTAAAATTAGTTCATCAGAACCTTTTTACCCCCTTTTCCGTCCCTGCTAGAGAGCAGGGACTTTTGTGGGAGAAAAAGGTTCCTATTTCTGATTGGCTGGGCGGATTGCAAACCACGCCCCGTAAAACTCCCAAAAGGTTTTGTGAAGCCGCCATTTTATTATCCTGGCATTAGCATTATTAGCATTAGCATTCGCCCAGCGCACCAACGGAGAGAGAATAACTTATGGCAACACAAAATAAAACATGGGAGCGGTGGAGATGAGGAGGTGTCGGCGTTCTGGCGATTTACTCGGAAGGCTTCAGTAGAAGCTGCTGGGAGTCCCAGCAGCTTCTACTGAAGCCAGTCCCCAACTCCGGGGACTTCCGGCCGGGGACTTCGGGTGGCAGTATACGCCGTGAAGTGGTTTGCTGCCTGCCAGTAAACCCAAAGCAGAAGAAGAAGAAGTGACGTCAGCGGCTCATTTGCGTAATCTTCCCTCAGGGACTTATTCCGGTGTGAACGCGATCTGTACTTAGTTAGTGAGAACTAAAGAGTTCTCATGAACCTTTGTGGGAAAAGTACTGCGGTGTGAAAGCGCCTTATGTGGTACTGGACCTCATTAGGCTGTTTAACACCAGATTCATGTGGCCGTGTCCAGGTTGTGGAACAGCGAATCTGCTCTTTCTCTACTTCTTTTGAAATGGCAGCCACTGCAATTCAGTGATGCACATCAATAATAAAGGCAAGGGAGTTGAATCCTTTTCATAAACCTTGGATGTATTAATACAGAATGGGTTGAATCACATCCTCCACTTTAAGTCCTTTCATCCTCGTCTCCATCAGCTCTTCATCTCTGAATCCTATTACTTCAACATGAGTCACTCAATGCTCAGCTCCATGCACATGTTACATAGGCTAGATTTCCGATGAACCTGGATAAGGTTTAAGGCTGCTTTTGTGAACGCTGAGCATGTTTCTTCAAGTTGGTGAAAGTTATCTCAATATTGCTCATGTGTTGTCAAGTTGGTGAAGATGTTTCTTCATTTGCATTCCTTTTCATTTTTACATTATTTTTGAAAGGGTTCTCGTAATGTAAGTGTTTTGGGCCGTTGTAGGGCGTTTGAACGGGTGGTCCACTATTAAAGCTGATCCCTGCTTTAAGGATACACATTTTAGTGACATTTGGCATTTAGGGATGATAGTACCATACAGTGACACTTTCTCTGTGTCTCCTGTTGGAGGGCTTTGTGCATCTAGATACCCTTTAAAGCTATGAATATATCGAAAATCATCTTAGTTTTTGTCCCATAGATACACAAAGGACATTATGTTAGTCAAACAAAACATAAAATAGATTAGTTGATGGATATTTAGAAGTGTGTATGCTAATCTGTGGGTGTATGCATCCACGTTCCATCTGGATGTCCTTCTGCAACGTAAATAACTAGAACAAAATCACCCTTTTGTTTGTATCGAGCATGTTTTTCCATACCAATGGGTTATTCTTTTATAGACAGACGGCTGAGCACCATCCTGCTTCCCTCTGTCCTGAACTGAATTAAGAAGCTGCCCTTTGTGTCTCTTTCATATCTTTTCATCATTACCCATAGATAGAGCTGTTTCATAACATCCGCATGAATGACAGTATGAATGATATTTTTCTCTCTGAATACCCACATTCTTAGATTCAGGACGCTACGTGTGCGCATTGTGCCGTGTTGAAGTAGTCCGTTGACTATTTTCGCTGGAAAAATTGTCTTTTCTTTTGGTAGGACTGAAACCTTGTAGCAACAACATGAAACCCTGATGAAGTCCAGTTTCTTTCAAATGAAGAATTGTTACACATTTCTCAAAATGTTGTACGTCATGAAAACCAGAAAAAATATGAAGTGAATGAGCATTAGTTAACGATTTGGACCTGGACAAGGTTTCTGTTTAATTAAATCTGGCATTACAGCAAATCCCTTTTAGGTAGGTTTGGTAGCATTTGTAGACACTGCTTACCATTCCTGTTGTTTGTTAATATGACATCAATCAGTGGTAGCTTATTAACTGTAATTTTCTAAGGACAAAAGGGAAACTTTTAGCTGTCAAATGTCCTGTGTACACAATAAACGGTGCAAAATATGGTTTCAAAGCAGCACCTGTTATTTGAATGTGTCAGAAACATTAATCTTTTGATGCTAGTGTGTGTTTCTGCTAATGTTGAGAGCTTCATCTTATTTATGTAATAAGGGATTCAATACTGGACTTTGATAATATGCTATAGAACCATAAATCAGCCTCACTGTTGTGTCCCTGGACCCTTTCAAATGCGACTTGTAATGTCTTGATTTGAGACATTTGATGGAATCTACAATATTAAATCTTTCATTTGAAAATATATTTAGCTACATTAGTCTGCCAATGCTTTCACATGGCATGATGTGTTGTTTCAGAGTCATATGGACTTCTATTCCCAGGAGAGACTGTGTTAGTTACGGTTTTGCATAGCAACAGAAATACATTTAGTTTCATAGCACTTTCAAAAACAGAAGTTGCTTTGCACAAAGATGAAAATGGAGAAAAAGTTTTGAGGGAAAAGTTACACAAGAATCATTATTTGGCTAAATGACACAGGGACATTTTTGCACATTTTGCACATGTAGCTCTGTGCACTTCTGTCATGCAGTTAAAACATATAGCCTTATTCAGAGGACCATAATGCATGATACATTCAGTACCAGAAAATATGATAACATACAGAAGTTGTAATATTGTCCTTGCTTAACGCAAAACAGTGTGATGTGATTGAATGTTCTCTAACGGTGGAAAATGAGAGATTAATATGAGTGCCCTGGGCAAAATGCACTTGTGCAAACATATATGTATTACAAGGAAAAGAAGAAAATGGTATTCAGATGTTATTCTAATTTATTCATAATTTGGATTGAATCCATAAAGACAGATCTTCATTAGCATCATTTAGTGAAAGAAGAATGAGAGTTAATGAGTTGGCTCGTGTCCTGATATTGAGTTCACGGCGCTCCCGCTAGTCCAACAGAATCAAGTGTATAGATTTCATGTGCAGAAGAACATAATAACATTATGCACACTCATCAAAGTAGCATATCATTTGAATATTTATATATGCACGTATTGTAGGTGTAGTGGCCAAAATCCCAAAGTTTGTCTTGTAACTCCTATATTTCAAAGGTTCCTTTTCTTGACCACATGTAGAGCTTGGGGCTGGGAAGCAATGTCAGACTCGCAGTTAAAAAATCCACCGGACGTTTTGGTTGCTCTTTCAACGTTTATTTTCCAGCAAAAACAAAACAAAATACGAAAACAATATTTAACGTAAACTTAAACAGCAGATCCTAATAATCCGTATTTTACTAAACATAAGGTTGCGTCTGCGTGTCAATGACGGTATTGCTGCCGCCCCCCGTCACACACCGCACCTCCAATTTAAAGCTTTAGCCCCGCCCCCTTCACCTGAGCAAAGCGCACCTCTCACTGAAACAGAGAAATGTATTAATAAAGGTTCCAAATAAATCAAAACAAAATAAACTTAAATGCAGCTCCTACAGTAGGTGTTGGCGTAACTCACAGCAAATTGTTGAAATATTAGCCACGTAAAAGCAATGATTGATGCTTGAATATGATTTTAGTAATTTGGCAATAAACAATATTCACAAAACGTCTTATGTGACTGATGATCTGCTTGTAAAAAATTGTTTAGAAATGGGACAAATTGTATGGTATGCCCATCACAAAATCCTGGAGCCAAATGCAAATTAATGAAACACAGTCAAAACTTCAATATCTCACATTTGAGAACCTAAAACTACATCGTTTTTGAAATTTGCTTGAAAATAAACGTAAAAATCTTCATGTTACTGAATTTAATAAAACGCTGTGAGATGTTTCCAGATATTGATATTTAAATAATTTTTCGATGTATCCAAAATAAGTTGTACAGAACAGAAATCTGGATCGGCACAGAGTAAAACATTTTAGGCTTCTACCATTAAGATAAAATGGTTGCAGCTTGTAATGTTTCAGTTTTTATTCCCTTGATTTATTTGTTTCTTGTATCATTTTTTTCCAAACCAGATCAGTCATTTCAGCCTGGTTAACTCCTCTGACCTTTCTCATCAAAACAGCATTTTACACACTGCTCCTGATTGGATGTTTACTCGTTGATTGCATCATTCTCATTCTAAGAACCCATTCCTCTGAAGTACATAAATAGCACTCTCTGGCATTTCCTGAAAGTGTGGAAACAATAGGAAATCAGAATGTTGTCTTTCTGACGCTGCATGTAACCACACTTAAGCATTTACATTTATATGACTCATTTCTAACTAGCTCTTTGAATGAGTAGTATTGATATTTGTGCTCATGTGTCCTCAGCCTGGAGCTGACCCTGCAGAAGCGTGAAGAGGGCCCGATGTGGTCGGAGCTGGTGATGGGGGACAAGAGAGGGGAGTACGTGATGAGCGACGAGCAGGCTGCCCTCATCCACGAGAGGCTGACCTTCCTCACCTCTGAAGACATGGTAGGAAAACTCAAACACCAAATGCCATTAAGCCCCCATCCTTAAAAACACCTGCCTCCTGTGCATGAAAACAGCCAAAACTTTGCAGAGTTACCACACCTTGTCCAAACTATCAGGAGATAAAGGTGCCCACCATTTAAAAAGTGATCTACCAAAAACAGCATAAGATATTTTGAGTGCAAAGAAAGATATCATCCTCTGGGGAGCAAAAATCAACTATTTTATGGCATTCTGCTGATTATTTTTTGCTTTTGTTATAAAAAAAACAACACATTTATATTGCCAAGACAATTATTAAAAAAAATGAAAAGTTAAGTTGACTAGCCAATAACATATGGTTTTCTTATTATATTTTTCGTTATAATCTTTTAATCATGTTTTAGGAATCATCAGAAAATAATTTAATAGCAACTTTTACATTTTACAGTCCATCTTTAAAAAAAAAAAAAAGTTTATATTAAATGTTTCCTTGAAAGTTTTGTGGAAAGAACAATATAATTTGATATCCTTCAGAAAACTGTCTCAATTATTAATTTATATTTATTGTATTATTGGTAACCATATTCTTTTATATGAATGTTCTTCCTTGAAGACATGTTTTAGTTGGAATGCTGATACAGCATTCAAAACGTTCAGCTCGATCGGGAATCGATGGCTATTACTTTTCACATTCATACATTTTTCCATATATAATTCCAGAGATACATCCCATAATTCATCACATTCCTAACATGGAAGTCAATGGAGAAACTCTTCAGACTTGAAAAATCTTCATGCGACTTCCTTCATACAGTACTTCCTTCATACTTTCACTCAGAAACCTCATTCCAACTTTAAAATGTTACACATCTTTCTGACATTATTCGTATTGCACAACTTTTAAATCAGATTCATACTTTAAGAGATATTAAACATTGTTCAGACCTTGGTAAAGAGGCCTTCTTTAGATTTTAACATTAGTGTGTATTGCGCAGCTCGTTAAGGCTTAGAGTGCGTGATGTCACAGCTAGAGTGGAGGAGAGCTTGAAATTTGCCTTCATATTTTTTTTTTAAACCTGCCATAGCTCCCAAACCCTACACTCCTGGGACATCATTTTTCATGAAAAACTTAGGAAAACATCTCGTAGCTTAAAAAAAAAAAAGATTAAGCAAACATTTTTAACAAAATGCCTCTTGAGGGCATGAAGTGACAAAAACGTTCAACATGTCTCCATTAAGGCCCATTGTAAATTCAGCCTGATCTTTCCTCAGAGCACCAGCCGCACACCTTTAGTTAATCTGCCAAAAAGCCACATTATTGACCCGAAAGTACACAAAAAGCAGACTGAGACGCTCCTTAGTGTCCTGAGATGCTCCAAGCGTTGAAATGTCACCGATAGCTACTACGGTTCTTCAACAAAACGTTCAAATGTAAGAGGTTTATCTCTCATTCACATCAATGGAAAGGCACACACAGGTGTTATGATTAGGTGCCCAGCACAGAAACAAACACTGAAAAACAGACTGGAGTTTAACAGACTGTCTCAGCCTATTCTTTTCTGTCTGATGGAGACTTCATACTGACTTCAACATGTTCCACATATTTTATACATTATTGGTGACGTATGGTTTTATTTCAAAAGTTTGCAGTTCAAATATTCTGCTGCTTTTTACTTTCTTTTCTTTTCTTATCACACATTCAAGCCCCCAGTGTTCATGTGTCATTTCAACCTAAATTCTTCACTTTCTTCTTACACATTACATTTCAGCATAGCAGTTCAGCGTCAGCTTTTCAGCATAAAGCATTCCCACTAGAAATGTCTTCAGGAATTGCATTCTCTAGTTCAGTGGTTCTCAACTGGTGGGTCGCGACCCAAAAGTGGGTCGCGGACCCGTTTCGAGTGGGTCGCGGATGTGTGAGTGAAAAAAAAAAATTGGAATTTTTTTTTTTTTTTTTGGGGGGAAAAAGTCAAACTTTTATTTTGAAGGCCCGATTTTCTTCTCAGAGTGTACCAGAATGCGTAGTTTATGTTAGTATTTCTAAAAATCTCCTGGGGGAGAATCCCCCCAGACCCCCCTGCTTGGGTTGGGTTTCAGCATGTGTGCCTTTTTATATAGTTCAGCTTTGATTCCATCATCTCATTAAACCTTTTTTTAAAAGCATACTTTAGTTCTGTGAAGGGATATAAGGGATATATGCACTGTACTTCACTTTTATTAATATTGTATGCTCAAAAGCGTATATATTACAGCACGATTTTTTGTTGAATAGATTTGAGTGCTTCAAAATGTTGGGTCGCGATGTATTGACCAAGTAAAAAGTGGGTCCCGAGGCCTGACCAGTTGAGAACCACTGCTCTAGTTTACATTGTTACTTCTTCAGCTGACTTGCTTGATTAAACACTTTTCTAAGAAACAAAATACTATAATGTTTTACAAACTAATAATTAATATCTTTTGTCCTCTAATTAGTCAAAATGCACACATTTGTTTCTTGAAAACTGATAAGAAATAATTAGGAAATTATTGATGGATTACACAACACTAATGTAAAGGATTACATTACACGATTGCATGATAAATAGGTCTAACTTTCATAGTTTATTTAATTTATTTATTACAATATCAATACATATTGTGATACAGTACATTTTGGAATAATTTAGTAAATGGTTTGTAAATAAAATACATCTTGGTGTATGTTTCAAGGCATCTATCCTCATAGAGCACAGCCCCATTGATAAATGTATGGTTGAATCACTCCAGTGTTAAATCAATCAGCAGTACGTGTTATAAAAAGATTACTCATACATAAACTTGAATGAAGCACAACTTGGCTTGAGTTTTGTTTTTTCTCCGGAGGGTTTCTCATGACCTCACAAGCTTTTCTTTTTTAAGCCCTCTCTTCTAGCTTTCAGCATCTCCCCCTCCTCAAAGGCCCCTCACCTTCATCCTCTTCCTCTTCAGCTGCTCTGAGCCCTCCCTGTCTGACATCTTGTTCACATCACCACACTCAGCCCACCACAGTCACCCTCAGTCTCATGCTCAACAACATCCTCTCTGGCCCTTACCCTTCAAATGTATCATCTGGGTCCACTTGAGGCCCCTCAGAGCTAATCAAGCCTTTTACATGTTAATAAATGCAAAGCAAGTGTAACCCTAGCCTCTGTTCTGTTTCCCTGTCCCTCCTTTTTCTTTACCCAGAATGGAAACCCTGACAAGGACAAGCCCCCGTGCAACTCTCAGGAGCTGGAGGACTGTGATGGCTTCCCAGAAGATGGCTCCAGTCTCACACACTTTGATGGAGAATCACTCAAGCCCTCTCAGGTGGTGAGTACCACCTCTGTACTTCACTAGTAAACACTTTGATGCTCCAATCCTTCAAGCCAGAGCCATCAAATGTAACGTGTTCACTCCTTTCTGTCCGCTCCTCCCATCCTTCATTCCTCTCAAGTACTCTGCTGGCTACCTGATGCTCTCTGCCTATAATGGCGCATTTCCACTACAGCGTGGAGCTCGCTTTAAGCGTGCAGAGCCGTGCGGGGCCCGTTTTTGGTTGCGTTTCCACTTAGCGTTGTACCGGCTAGCGGGTACTATTTCACCGTTTTTCTGGCCCCATAAAATCGAGATTCTTTCCGGGCCAACAACCAGGCTGAGTATGCTAAACTAGAGAGAGAATTGCTGGCAAGGGGGCTACAACTACAACAAGATGAACATATTTGACCGTGATTTAATTGTAATACACGTTTCAAAATGATGCCGAAGTAACAACATACTGATACCGGTTAGTAAAAACCATGAATTAATGCTTTGACAAGTCTGCAGACAGACGGCAGGCGAAAAACCTTTTAAAATGCGTGTTGTCTAAATGGAGATCGGCTAAGCTAACGCAGTGTATGCTTCGACCGTCCACACTCACAACAACGGCCTATACAGACATAAATAAACCAGCGACTGTATTCACCATGACACAGACAGTCTGTGGTTTGTACTTGTTTAACTTTTGTCTAGTTTCTGAACAGATATGAAGAGCTGTGAGCTCTGAGGGCTAACAGCTAACGGCTGATGTTGGTTTTGTGTTTCGCATTGAAGATGACGTCACAGCTCCGCCTACACTGCGTTACTATAGATACTGCCCCAGTTCCTAAACTGTAATGGAAATGCCCCATAAAGTGAGCCAGTCCTAACAAGGCCTAACGAGGCCTAGCCATACCGAGCGAGGCCGAGCGAGGCCGTGTAGTGGAAATGCGCCTAATGGCGCGTTTCCACTACAGCCCGCAGCCCGGTTTAAGAGGGCTGTGACGTCAGCGGCCCGTCTTTGGTTGCGTTTCCACTTGGCCTAGTACCGGCCGGCGGGTCCTAATTCACAGTTTTTCTGGCCTCATAAAATCGTGGGTCCAGGGCCAGAGACAACGAGGCTGAGTCAGGCTGAGTATGCTAAACTAGAGAGAGCGTCGCTGGCAAGGGGGCAACAACTACAACAAGATGGACATATTTGACCGTGATTGAATTGTAATACACGTTTCAAAATGATGCCGAAGTAACAACATACTGATACCGGTTAGTAAAAACCATGAATTAATGCTTTGTCAAGTCTGCAGACAGACGGCAGGCGAAAAACCTTTTAAAATTCGTGTTTTTCTAGATGGAGATTGGCTAAGCTAACGCAGTATATGCTCCGACCGTCCACACTCACAACAACGGCCTATACAGACATAAATAAAGCAGCGACTGTATTCACCATGACACAGGCAGTCTGTGGTTTGTACTTGTTTAACTTTTGTCTAGTTTCTGAACAGATATGAGGAGCTGTGAGCTCTGAGTGCTAACAGCTAACGGCTGTGTTGTTTTTCTGGGGTCCTCTGAAGATCACGTCACGGCTCCGCCTACACTGCGTTACTATAGTTACTGCCCCAGTTCCTAAACTGTAATGGAAATGCGCCATAAAGTGAGCCAGTCCTAACGAGGCCCAGCCATACCGAGCGGGGCCGAGCGAGGCCGTGTAGTGGAAACGCGCCATAAGAGACAGTTTTTATCCAGCCGCTCCCCTAGTGAGCAAGCCAGCTCACTACCTTGACCTTTAATAAGCCTATTGGCCAGAGAGCTCTGCAAAGGCCAAGTAAAGAAGTAAAAGCAAACCCACTTAGGCTGTTGTAATAGCTCCAATACTGGAATATTCTATACTGCTATCTACTTGACCAACTTGCTGCATAATATCCTACTTATTAAACAGCTACTAACTAAATAAATGTTAGAGTAAAACTCTAACACAGAAAATACCTCCCCAAAACGCCTCGTCATTGTCCATTTGATTCTTCCCGGAACGAAATGGACCAATCCGTGGAGCCGTTACGTTACGTCCGCGGAGCCGTTACGTTAAGCCCCCGCTGATTGGTCCAAATTGACCAATCCACGGACTTCCTCACACACAGGCAGCTCTGCTGATTTCTCCTCCCTGGCTGCAGGCTGATAACAGACAGTTGGGATCGCGGCGAAATTCTCTCTGCAGACCCATTCTCACAGCGTTTATCAACCTTTTTCTTACTCAATATCAAGCCACACTTATTGTTTTTACTTCGGCTGTGACTTTGTGTGTGCTCAGGATGAGTTTGGCTGTGTTTCGCTATGTATCCTAAACAAGGAAACAACATCTCCACGGAGCTCAGCGCGATTCACAACGTCCCGACCAATCAGAGCACACTGTGCTCACAGGGAGGGTGGGGGCTGGAGCTATTGGAGCTACAACGAGCCGTTAAAGGCAGAGAGTGAAATTCAGTGAATACACGTAGTTTACAGAGATGCTGTATGAGAAACCAATGTGAGTTTGGAAAAATGCACAGTATAAATCTATTCTAGTAGACCTCAACAATGGAATTATGATCAGTGGAAATGGCCATGACACCTCTCCTTTAAACACTGCAAGAGCCCAAACTGTGTTTTAAGAATCAAAAGGAAATGGTACGTCCTGTCTGTCACCTTCTGCTGTTTCCTTTATTGTTTCCTTTCCTGTTTGTCTCCTCTCATTGGATTTATCCTAATTCCTTCACTTGTTTTCCTGTTCTCTTTTTTTCTTTGCTGGGAACAGTTCAGCAATCGTGAATCCAAAGTTTCTTGCTCTCCACTAATTTAAAAAATGTAATCTTTTCAAATGTAATTTAATCATTAGCAACAGTCTACTATCAAATAAGAGCAGGCCGCTGAAAGTCTGAATTGACCAATCAGAATCAAGTTTTTAACTAGGTCGTATTCTAATAAACTGCGAACTGAAAAGATAGACACGGGATGGACACTTCACTGTTATGTTTTTCGCTTATTTTCATCCAGCAGCCTGTAAGTGATACATGTTTGGAGTTTTTTTTTGTCATTGAGAGCAAAAAGGGTTCAACTTTAGGTAAAACTGCGCTCAGCCCTGTCATTTTTTCTCCTCCGTCCAACCACAGTGGAGGTGGGGCGGGACTTATTCCACAAAGACATGTACAAGTGGCCAACAAGCGCATGTCAGGCTATAAAGCCAATCGTTCGCCAACATTTATTTGTATAAATCTGTTAATGAATTTTAGGAGTACGTGTTCGTTGAGGGATGTCGATTAGTCCGAGACTCTGTACTATAATTGAAAAGTCCAATCAATGGCCATATTGATTTAAAGCATCAAAGCATTGCAAGGTTTGCTTTTTGATGTCCTGTTTCTTGCCTTTCCTCCTTTCATGTTGTTCAGGTCACATATGGACTCAGTGCTTTTGTGTGGAAGAAGGCTCATTGACCTTCATCAGATAGCATCATTCCATCTGACAGAAAGTGCTCTGCATCAAAGGAGGTCTTAATTTGTTATCAATTTGTTGAAGTATATATTTTCCTGCTAGACTCTGATCAAAGACTGTTCCGGGCTGTCCATTAGCCTCTGAAGCAAAAGGTCACAGTGGATTTATAATAAACTCCACTACCAGCATTAATAATGGATTTCACTGTCTGCGTACATCATATATGACTACAAACAGTCATTATTATCTTTATGTTGTCAGCCATGCTAGTACAGCTTTGAATCTGTAATTAGGAACAGCAGTGCTATGAGCTCATTCTAATAAAAATGACAATGCTTGTTAATTTTTGGCATGGTAGCATTTTGTAGTTAGCCATACATACACAGTACAGCTGAGGATGATGGTTAATGGTTTTCTGGTGTTGAAGATAAGATGAATGATTCCCAGGGGAAAGATATCCTCATGTGTACCCAAATGAGATTATTTATATTTCTTTTTTGTTACCATTCACATCTATAGCCTACAATCACCTATGACAAACACTGTTCATATGATCCGAGCAATTTTTAGCATGCTGCTCATCCTGCAGCAATTAAAAGATATGATGCAATGCACACTAACTGACAATACAAAAAGGTACGGCTCGACTTGGTCTGTTATTAAAAAAAGTTAATTATAATCACAAAGGTAGCCTCATGGTCGCACTTAATAAAAAATCAAGAGATAAAAGAAAGTAGGATACACAATTTTGACACCATGGAAATCAATTAGTGTTGCACGATTTGTTGAGAAACTGATATTGAGATTATTGTGGACAATATTGCGATTAGTTTGCCCTTTAACCTGTTAAGCCCGAGAGACCCCGGTACCGGGGCACTGCCGCAACATCTTGCAGGAAACAGTGTCTGAGGGCATGTTCATTTAATAAACTATGAATGTTTTATATCCATGTAACGGGAAGAAACTCATCTAACTGATCTTTTTTTTTTTTTTTTTTTAAAGAAAACCCACAATGCTAACACTGACGGGCCGTCTCCACGGCAGCGTTAAAAAAATCTTGAAACGCTTCTGCCCATTCACTTTGAATGGGGTGACGTCACTTTTTTTCGCTTTCGCCGAAATGCATTGTGGGCAGGCGAGCGGAGATTCTCAGGATTTTCAAGATCCAAAGTTGAACAATGTTCAACTTTTGAAGCTGAGGAGGAAGCGTCAGCCAATCAAATCCCGTGTACGCAAATCTGACAGTTCAAGCTCTAGCCAATCAAACGGCGTGTATGCTGGGAGAGACAGACCGCAGGTCATTTCCTCATATTCCAAAACATGGAGGAGAAATTAGCGGTAGCGAATCAATCACCCGGTGCTTTATGACCAGACCTACCGGGATATAAACCGGAGGAGCCAGGCATGGAGGGAGGTGGCAGAGACAGTGGTATGTTTTCGCCTGTTTTGGGGAGTTTATATCCAGTTTACTTCGGGCTTTTTGGCTTCATATGTCGCGGGCAGGAGATTCATGTGATTGGTTGATCGCAAAAAAATCCCCAAGCCTCAGATACGCCCACCTCCAAGATTTT